TAATACAGCTATTGCCTCCCTTCCTTTCTTCTTTCTTGCTTGCTTGCTTGCTTCCTTCCTTCTGCCACCTTTTCCTCTCCTTCCTTCTTTCCTTCTCCCGGTCCTTCCTTCTTGCTTCTTTCCCTCCCTTCCTTTTTTTTCTTTTCTTCCTTCCTCCTTTCATTCCGTCCTTTCCTTTCTTCCTCCCTCCATTTCTTTCTTCCTTCCCTCCTTTCCCTCTGTTCTTCCTTCCTTCCCCCTTCCTTCCCCCTTGCTTCCCTTCCTTCCTTTCCTTCCTTTCTTCCCTTCCTTTCCTTCCTTCCCTCCTTCCTTCCTCCCTTTCTTCCTTCCTTTCATTCCTTCCTTCATTCCCTCCCTCCATTGCTTTTCTTCCTTCTCTCCTTCCTTTCTTTCCTTCCTTCCTCCCTTTCTTCCTTCTTCCTTTAATTCCTTCCTTCCTTCCCTCCGTTGCTTCCTTTCTTCCTTCCCTCCTTCCTTTCCTTCCTTCCTCCCTCCCCTCCTTTCTCCCTCCCCTCCCTCCCTCCCTCCTTCCTTCCTCCTTCCTTTCTTTCCTTCTTTCCTTCCTTTCTCCCTCTCCTCCCTCCTCCCCTCCTTCCTTCCTTCCTTCCTTCCTTCCTTTCTTCCTTCCTTCCTTCCTTCCCTACTCCTTCTCCTTAAAGTATCCACAAGGAGTGAGCAGCAAGGGGGGTGTAGATGAGCACGGGAGAAAGAGGGGGGGAGGGGGAAAGAGGTTCCCAAAGCCCCCTGCCCACATTCTGCAACTCAAGACGAGGGCATCGGGCGAGCATCTCGCCGTTCCCCCCCACCCCACCTCCCCCTTCTCCAAATTCCCTTGCAAAGACCCCTCCTCGCTCCTCCGGCCCAGCCGCAGCCGCAGCCCTTCATCCCGAGCCGGAAATCGATCTTGAGCTGAATCAACTAGTCTTTCTCCTCTTCGCTCCCCGCCTGCCCCCCCCCTCCGCCCCCCCCTTCCCGCCTTCTCTCCCATCAGTCACACTCACCCACCGCGTCTTCTCGGCCTCAGTCCGGAGCTCCGGCACCCCTTCTCCGGCCTTTCCAACGCAGACTTCCAGCCAGGGGGAGACGGGGAGAAACACCGCCCCCCTTTATTATTCCCCCCCCCCGTCCCTCCCTCCACCCACCCCCCCAGCTTTCTTGTTCCCTCAGCTCCTCTAGAGCAGCCCGCAGCCCGTGTTTGAACCACAAGGGACACTATTTGGGTGATTTGGGGACGGCGTCTGATTGACCATCCAAACCTCCTTCGGGCCTCCCCTCCCTGACCCCCCTCCCCGTGCCACCCCTCTACCCCCCCACCGGTTTATTTTCCTTTCCTTTTATAAAATCACGCACACACACGCGCACACACCCTCCTTCCGGGGTCTCTCTGGGTCATGAATGGCTTTTTTTAAAACAAAAAGGCAGGTAGGGAAAAGGGAAAGTGGCGGGCACTGTTGCTGGCGGACGGAGCTGGTTGGGGTGGGAGGTTATGGAGGGAGGTGGGGGGGGGTCCCATTCCGCCCTGCAGCCAGGATATACCAGTAGTGCCTTTGCCAGGAAAGAGGGGGGGGGGTCCAAGGCGTTCGGAGGACCCCCTGCCCTGTATTTTAAAAAGAAGAAAGGGCGAGATTTGAGAGAAGGGTCTTAGCTTGAGGATAACACACTCCGCCCGATTTATCTCTTGTTTGGCTGAAACTTGGAAGCACAGGTGGCGCTTTTGCGGGGGGGGGAGGGGGGGGAGGAAGCAAGGGGAGCCATCTACCTAAAGACATCCTCCACACCCACCGCCCCTCTAGGATGTTAACCCGGGTGGTTCGGGAAGGCTACTGCGTTGCAAAAAAAAAAAGAAGAAGAAGAAGAAGGGGGCTTCGTGGCACTCCGACGCCTCCCCCCCCCCACTCCCCAGCGCTCTTGCTCCCCAGTTGGGACGAGGCTCCCGTGAGATGAACGTGGGGGAAGCGCGCTCCGGGACCAGACGCTGGTCTCCCGCGGAAGGTGCTTCCCCATCGGCTATCTTCCGCCGCCCTACCCCCCTGCACACATAGAGAGGGGGAGAGACAGACAGAGAAGGGAAAGGAGAGAGAGGGAGAGAGAGAGGGGGGGAGAGAGGGAGGAGAAAGGAGAGAGAGGGGGGGAGAGGGGAGAGAGAGAGAGAAAGAAGAGAAAGAAGAGAGGAGAGAGAAAGGAGAGAAAGGAGAGAGGGAGAGAGAGAGGGAGAGAGGGAAGAGAGAGGAGAGAGAGAGAAGAGAGAGAGAAGAGAAAGGAGAGAGAGAGAGGAGAGAGGGGAGAGAGAAAGGAGAGAGGGAGAGAGAGGAGAAAGGAGAGAGAGAGGAGAGGGAGAGGGAGAGAGGGAGGAGAAAGGAGAGAGAGGAGAGAGGGAGAGAGAGAAACAGGAGAGGGAGAGAGAGGAGAGAGGGAGAGAGAGAGGAGAGGGAGAGAGAGGGGGAGAGAGGAGAGAGGGAGGGAGAGAGAGAGAGAGAGGAGAGAGAGAGAGACGGACCAGCCAGCCAGCCAGCCAGCCAGCCCCCTCCCTGTCCTTTCCCTCCGGCTTCCTCCAAAGCCTTTTCTTCGGAGCAGACAAGCAAAACATCCCCTTCGAGGCGGACAGTTCGCGGGTCTGCCTTTTCCTTTCCACCACCCCACCTCCCCACTTTGGATGGCGCGGTGGGATGTCCGCGTCTGGGGGGGGCCTGTGGGGAGGGAGGGGGGCGTGTCGCTTCCCAACGCCACCCTTTTCATTCCAGGGAGAGGCGAGATTTAATTTTGCTGCCTTCCTCCTCCTCCTCCTCCCTCCCTCTTTCCTAACCCCACCCCCGCCGTCTCTCCCTTTTCGGAACCGGCCTCGCTCCGGAACGTCAGCTGGCGAAGCCCCTCGCCTCGCTTGAGCGGCGTGTGCGTTCGTCGGAGGGGGGTTCAAATTGAAAATAAAAAATAAATAGAAATAGGGAAAGAAACGAGGGGAACCCATCCTTTTGATTCCTGCGTTGAATTCGGACCTCGCGCCGCTAAAGGAGGTGCTGGTGGGAGGAGGGAGGGAGAGAGAGAGAAAGAGAGAGAAAGAGAGAGAGAGAGAGAGATTTCAGATCTGGTTGGCAGGAGCAAAGCAGAGCGAAGCGGACGAGAAAGAGGAATATTGCAGAGATCAGGCGTCTCCTTTGGAAGAAAAAAGAAAAAAAGAATCACCCCTTAAGGGAGGAGGAGGAGGAGGAGGAGGAGGAGGAAAAAGCCAAAAAAATACAACCTCCGATGGGTCTGGCCAGCACATTCTGCCTTTCTTCCTTCTCTTTGGACACCGGAAAATCCCATCCGACGCAAGGAAGTTGAACCGGAGGGTTTGCCCTGGGAAAGGAGGGAGAGAGAAAGAGAGAGAGAGAGAGAGAGAGAGACGGGAGGGGGGGGTGGGTGGGGAAAAGAAGCCGACCCGGTTTACCATTCTGTACTCAGGATCCAAGCTTCCAGACCTCATGACCATTGGATTTCCTTGGGGCCACCGGGATGTGGATTTAATTCGGGTTCCAGAGGCAAAGGAGGAGGAGGAGGAAGAGGAAGAAGAAGACGGGAGGCGAAACCCACACTGTTGAGCCTGTTGGACTTGGAAGCCACCTTTATTTTTTTAGGAAAGCCTTGTTGTGTTTTGATGATGATGGTGGTGGTGATGGTGATGATGATGATTTAACCGAATCCTGGAGCAGTGGCCAACTCTCTTGTCTAGAGATCTACGGTTTGCCATGGGATTGAAGATTTCCTAGCCTGGCGGTGAGGAGCATTCCTCCAGTTGTTGTTATTATTATTATTATTTTCCTTCTCTTGTTCATTTGCACCTTAAAGGATAACATTTATGAGATGGAAAATCGGGGACTGTTCAGCGCCCTGGCTTACTTGATGCTTCATGCTCCCTTGCTGCTCATAGTCCAGGGTAAGTCGACAAACTTCTCACCTTTTTCTCTCTCTCTCTCTCTTTACTCTAGGTAGCAAAATAAGGCAGGTTGAAACGTGGATAGCAAGGGGGAGGACGAGATTGGGGGGGGGGTGAGTGCCAAGAGAGCCCACCCTTCTGTACAGTTGCCACGGTTGTTGTTGTGTTTTTTTTCCTCTTAAGAAAAATCAGTGCAATGTTTATTAACACATCTGTTTTCTGAAAGGCAAAACACTTGCTCGGCATGTTGGTGAATAGAGAAATCAGAGGGAGGGGGAGGGAGAAGGAAGGAGGGAGAGGGAGGGGGGGAGGGTGAAAAAGAAACGACTCCCCTGTTATGGGGCAGCTATGGGTCCTAAGCAGCCCCCACCCCCACCCCGCCACGGTGGCGAGTGCGAGATATTTGAGGCTGAAGCCAAAGGGTGCATGCAGAAAGCACAGCCAAAGCTGCAGGATTGGGGGGCCAGCTGCACACTCTTGCTGCAGAGAGGGAGGCAAATCAAAGCTC